AAGTGGATTGAACCCACAATGAGCTTTGAGGTGACTGCAGTCCTGATCACATCTTTTTTTCCTAACATTTTTTTATTAAGTTATAGTCATTTTACAATGTTGTGTCAAATTCCAGTGTAGAGCAGAATTTTTCAGTTATACATGAACATACATATATTCATTGTCACATTTTTTTTTTGCTGTGAGCTATCACAAGATCTTGTATATATTTCCCTGTGCTATACCTGATCACATCTTAAATGTAGCCTTGTGAGAAATCCAGAGAACCCAGCTTGGCTGAGCTTAGATCCTGAAGCTACTAAGTTTTGGGATAATTTGTGATGCAGAAATAGATAACAAATACCTCCAGAGATAAACTGAGGACATATATAAGGGCAAACAGAGGGAAGAGAGGACATGGTTTTCAGTGTGTAGTATGTGCCAAGACATTATCCCCACTTAATCTTCACCTCCATCCTCTGAGGTGGGTGATCGTCATTGGTTCCATTTTCCAGACAAAGAAACTGAGGATGAAAAGGGAAAATAATTTGTTCAAGATCGCACTGTGTTGCAAGATAGGGTCTGATGGACAGTCAAACCTGTGGTTTTATTTTCATATCTCACGCTGTCTCAGAATTCACAACAATCAGTCTTCAAGGTTGCTGTCACTTCATTTGTGTTGGGTACAAATAAAAAGAGTAAATTGTTTAAAATCAACTGCCTTCTTATTTTCTTAAAATTGCATTCCCACTGCTCTCTCTCAGAATATCATAACTCACCTAAAACTAAAAAAGAGCAGGGCCTTATATCTGGTGTTTCTTACTTAAAGACTAAAGTACAAAGAACATGAAATTAAGAGTAACAAATAACCAAATCAAATCAAACAGAACCACCAAAGAGACGATTGTTAGCTCCTTGGACTACTAGGACATTGGTTTCATTGTATAATTAAATCGTTACCCTTATGATAATAACAGTACCAAATAGCAACAAGCATTTACCAAGGGTTCCCTGTGGGTTTGTGCTCTTCTGAGGTCTTTACGTATTATCTCCTTTACCTTCCCAGTAACAGTACCAAGCTAATTCCCTGTGCTGTATTCTCATCTGCACACCTTCCCCATCTGTCCATTTTACGAGGTATATGTCCTGGGCAAATTACTTAATCTCTCTGTGCCTTGGTCTCCCAGTCTACAAAATGGAATAATAATAGCACCTACCTCATCCACTTATTATGAGGTTTAAATAAAATAAGTTAGTGCTTGGCACAGAGTGAGCATTATAATCTAATTAATGAAATAAGTTCAGAACTGCATTCCTCCCAATCCAACTCTAGCTTGGATAGCAGTGAATTTGGGCAACAAGGAAGACTTGTCTGATTCTCAGGTGTGACTGCTGAGTCACAGGGGAGAACTGAGCAGTGTGGGTCCTACTGATGGAGCCAGAGGACTGCTCTGCAAGTGCGGCTCCACGATCCGGATGCAGGCCCCGGAAACCTGAGCTGAGCTGGTAGTCCCAGTGACTGGGTACCACTGGGGCATCCACGGAGTGCAGTTGGGATAGGGTCCCCATGTATTCAACACTGACCACTAGCAGGAAAACAAGAAAGATCTTTTTATAAGTGCTGCTCGAAAAAAAAGTTGATGCTAATTGGAGAGGAAAGAGAGCTAGCGGGAAAAGAATGGACAGAAGAAAGGGGGCATACAAGGGGCTAAACGAAAAATTTCAGAAAGAGGTGTTGGTTTGTAATTTTCATGAAGAGCATTTGAGAAGATGAGACACAAGGTAATTAAAATCATGATTAAAACGTTCCACTTCAACCCCTTAATAAAAGCTTATATCCACTCCTCTACACAGAGGACCACCTCCAGAGGTCATTTAACACCTGCTAATATGTCTTCCTACTTTGGACTAGTGTCTGTCTCATCGGCAGGCACAGTGTCACTTGTGCCTGCTGGAACGTGTGGGCAGAAGTCAGCAGATGTGTGGTGCCTGCTCTCCTGCCGCCCTGGGTCATGTGTCAGGGAAGGGATGCACAGAGGGGCTGTGCTCCAAAAGGGGACCCAGTGCCCGTGCTGTTCCTTTTCATAGAGAAAAGCATGACACCAGACTTGAATGAGGAGAGGAAACATTTTCTGTGTGGGTGTCAGCTGGGAGCGCCAGCCTCCCAGCACCTGGGAACATTGGCTGATCCTCCCACAGGGAGAGAAGCAGCCATCGTTCCCAGTTCATTGCCAGGCAACCCAGAGGAAGTCCCTGGGGTCACTGGTTAAACAGCCACTTGTGTCCCAGCAGTGCCTTTGCTCATGGCATTGCTCACCATGCTGTACTGACAGACCACCCTCTCGGCATCACCATCTGCCAGACCATGTTCGCCCTCCCAGAAGGCATCTCTGGCTCTGGGAGTGGAAGAAAGGTCAGGGAGGGTCTCACTGAGAAGGTGACATTCGAGCCAAAGCCTGGAGTAAGTGAGGGGTGAGGCAGGTGAGAATCGGTGAGATGTGTGTTCCAGACTTCCTCATAAAATTTGGGAAGTTGATACGGGAATGCAGCAGATGGGAATGGATCACAGTGGGTGCGGATCATCGGAGTGTGGGAATTAAATCAGACCAGATATAGAGAAACAGAGACAGATATGAGAGGTCAGAGAGAACATTCTTTGTTCCTTACCTGGCAGGAACAAAGAATGTTTAAGGCAGTGGTGTGCTGGTAAATAAGTTTAATAACTGGTTCTCCAGGAAACACCCCCAAATCCCAATCTGCAGTGTTTGCTAATTCTTGTGGTGCAAATACTCCCACCATGGCCAGCTCCAGGCTACCCATGTTACACTGAGCCCAGAGTAGGAACAAAGGCAACAGGGATTCAAAGTGACATGGAGATTTTTCACTGAATGCCTGAGAGGATGAAGGTGGCAAGGGCAGAAATATAGCCCAGTGTGTGGACATGTACAAAGCACCCATCTGTTTCGTGCCTTTGCAAAGACCAGTGATTCAGGGCTCCAGTCTCTTCATCCACAGCCTGGAGGGACTGAGCTAAAGGAAATAGAAGTTTCCTTCTGTGCTCTCCCCTTCATTTATTCTTTCCCACCACAGGGCCAGTGTATCTAGGGCCCTTTTCTTTAATGACCTTCCACATTTTTCTTTTCTTCACTGTCATTACTCAGATACCCGTAGGGGTGATTCTCCATATCTAGGGAGTCATATTGAACCCAACCGGAGTAGACATAGTTTGGAGCATCCCTGTCTTAGGAGTTTCTGCTTTTGGAGAGGTGGCTCAGTTGTGTTTGAAACACCCACCCAGCCCACTGGGGCTGCTGCTTCTGTACCTGGAGGAGACCTGGTGGCAGGTGAGTGGGTGCATCCACTGCTATTTGAATATCACACGTCTGCCAGCTTCACTCCTCTAGAAGCTTCCTCCTACCCTGGGGGAGTTGCTGCCAGAAGCAGGTAGCACTCTGGTTTAGTATAGTCAAAATCACTTCAGTGTCTCCAGGTAGAAGCCGGCAAATCCCAAGGTAGAAATCCCAACATCCTCTCCTATTTTCCACATGTGTAGATAGATCAGTAAAGGATAGATATTTTCTCTATCTTTATATAATCTTGCACATGTTTATATTAGGTTTGACAAGTAATAAAGTGCTTTTTCATGCACTATCTCCGATGGTTAGTTTTCAAAACTCTGGGAGGTATGATTATCCCATTTGACAGATGAAAAGCCTGATTTGCAGGGATGGCAGGTGATTCACCCCGAGTCAGTTTGCAAACGGCAAAGCTGGAACACAAACCCAGATTCCCATCTTTCCAGGACATCTCACTGCATGTCTGTGCTATGTGTATATGTATATGTGTGTGCGCATACACACAAGCCACTATGAGTTGACTTATTTATATAGGCACTTTTAAGACTAAGTTGGATGTGTCCTTCTGACAACCCAGCCTTATGAATTCATCAGATATTTTTAGAATGACTAGTACATGCCAGGCAATGTCAGACACCAGCTGAGAGCAGGCAACACAGCAGTGGACCACCCAGGCCTCCAGACCCCAATACACAGGTTTAAGAGTAGCAGAGACATCTTCAGACCCTGACCTTGACTGCAGAGGGGAAAAGACGCAGGCAGATTGAGAGGTGGTGGCTTCTTACTATGAGAAGAAATTGCCATTTCACCAGGTAATTAATGAAAACCACCTTCCTCTTTCTACCATCTTTCATTTCATCTTGCCAGGCTGGAATCTGGGGAGCCTGCTCCTATTATAATATGCTATATACAACACAAAAGAAACGGTGTTGAAAATTAAATAATTTTATTTGTGCTAGTCTTCAAGCTCCAGTTTTTTCATTCTCATAATTACTTAAGGTACCATATTACCTCCATCTTACAGATGAAGAACCTGAGGTTCAAAATGACCATAGTTTTTAAGGGAAGGAACCTTGAGTCCAATCCACGAGTGACCTGCATTTCTGTTCACTTTCCACTATCCCAGCAGAAAATTAGAACAATTTCCATTTTGGTGTACATCGGGGTTTGTTATTCCAGAATTGTTTTATGTGCCTACCAAGAGGGGACACGTTACATAAACTGTGATGCATCCACACAGCACAATACCATAAGACAGTGTACAGGAAGGCCCCTGTGTTCACAGTTGGAAAGTTCTCCAAGATGTATCATTATAGAAAAGAGCACGTTTATACCGTCTGCTATCTTAAGAATGAAAGCTAAGGGTGGGGGAGAGAAAACACATTCATTCTTGACTCACATCAGCATGGATTAACAATGGGCAGATACACAAGGAAAATGTTACCTAGGGAACAGCAGAGTAATCCAGTCAAAGAGTGGATTCTAAATATATACCTTGTTATTTTTATTTGTTTGAATCTTCTAAACGTATTACTCATTCAAGAAATTAGACACATTTTGTACTAAAAAGTTTCTCTGCAGAAATACTTCCCACTCCCTCCTCCTTTACTCTCCTTATCTTCAAGGCACACAGTACACAAAGAAAGAAATCCAGGTTAAGTTTTAAATAGGACAAAAATTTGCAGGTGCAGAATCAATCAGTGACGTCAGAACATTGATGCCATCTATCCATTTATTTCTGAGAATTGATGAGTATGACAGGCTCCGGATCCAGGCAACTCTTTGTAGTGAGAAGCTTTTGAAACCTAAGAGGAGAGAAGAAACGAAAGTAAATGTATTTGGGAACTTCTTTCTCAGTCTTCAACACCTGCAGAAAAACTCACAAACCTGTTTCCTTCAATGACTTTGCTCCTTTTGGGGTATCAGCGCTTCTCAATTCCTCACATAAAAACTCCCCGTGGTAAGAGGACCCAGCCTCTTGGGGAAGATGCTCTAATTTTGCTCTTCAGATAGGGTTGCCAGATTTGGCAAACAAAAATACAAGGTGCCTAGTTAAATGTGAATTTCAGATAAAAACATTTTTGTTTCAGTATACTATGTCTTGTATAATATTTGGAGGCATACTTATACTAAAACAATTATTTGTTGCTTATCTGAAATTCAAATTTAATTGAACATCCCGTATCGTGTCTGGCAAGTATATCTTCAGATGCCACCTGGAGGAGCCTGGGTAAGTGCATTTGAATGTTTGCCCAGAGGGGCAAGTACCACCTAGCCCGGTGCTACCAACACAAACTTCTGCATTGACAAGGATGTTCTCTTTGCTGCCCAGTACAGAAGCCATCAGCAACTTGACATGTGGTTAGTGCACCTGAAGATCTGAATTTTTCATGTTATTTCATTTAAATTTAAAGTAATATACAGCTGGTGGCTACTATATTGGACAGCAGCTCAAGAACCAGTTATGTATCTCCCTCCAAATTTAGCAACTGGAATTTGAAACCAAGTGGTGGCTAAAATGGTCTGTAACTCAGTAATAAACTCCCAAGTCCCTGCAGCTTAGTGATTATTCCATTTCTGTGCAGATACAACTTTTGTTGTCAACAAATTAATTCTGTGTATTCATTCCAAATACTTACTGAAGATCTATTATATGGAAAGTATGTGACGTGCCAGGGTATGGAGGTGCATGATCAAATTTTTTTTGACATACTCACCCTGTAGATGGTCTTGTTTACTGGATAACCCCAACATTAGAACGTAAAAAGCCATCAAGGTGCCCTTATGTGCAGAACAGACATTGTAAGTGGATGCAACAGCATTGATTTGGTCACACACACCAGTCGTGTGACCCTTCTCTTTCCTTGATTCTAAGCAAACATTTAATAACCACAAACTCAGAGGGTATTAAAGAGGATTCTTTTGTGCATGATATCAGCCAGCAGAGAACAGGCCCTTAAAGGAACTAGGTCTTCCTGGGCCACTGAGGGTTATTATGAAACATTTAGGTCTGGAGGGGTCAGTTCAAAAATCTGGCAAAAGGTAGAGTGTGAAAAAAAATGGAGTACACAGTACTTCAAATTTCACTGCCATTTGGGGAGCTGTGTAGGGCAGTAGTCAATGTACTAACAATGGTTAGTGAGCAAACATTTTTATACAGAAATTCAGATAACTATGTGCTTCCTGGGCTCTGAGAGGGCTTTCTGGGCTACAAGATACAGTCCCTGGTTCAGTCCCCAGAAAGTTGAGTGCCAGGCCCTCTCATAGATGCTGAGATGTCACATGGAGTAGACAGAGCAGATCCCACACTTCATGGAGCAGAGTACAATGGGGACAGGCAAACAAGGGATCTGATAAAAATCTTAGGCTGTATTTTCAAGAATCCTGGCAGGATGATTGATAGAAAGTTACTTGGAGTGAGAAGTGTACAGAGGGAGGGTACTTTTTATACTTTAAGTTACAAACTTAATACACACTGATTTTAACACTTTACACACAACTGCTTATACAGGTTAACAATCTCTCCTCATATAACCTCACATAGTGGGGTTTTTATTTCTAGACAGTCGATACCCTCTCTTCTCTAGTTTCTATGTTTTTCTTCTTGATTTACTTAATTAATCTAATACTATTTTGTTTTGCAAAAGGTCAAGTGTCTATGGATCAATTTTAATATATGTTGCCAGGAAATTTTCTCAAAAGATTATATAGCTGTGGCAATCCTTCCTCATCCTTAGCATCCTAAGTAATACGGTTTAGTGGTTATCTATCCATAGTGAGAAGTCCTATTCCACTGTTGCTGTAATATGCATAATCTAACTTGTAGGAAGGTGAATAGTTGTATATTTTTTGCTTTGTTTTTTCTTATATGTATTGTCTATTGGAATTTAATGAAACATAGAAAATATTCTGATAAGTATTTTTTCTAATTTTTTTTCCTAGCAGTTTGCAGGTCTTCCTTGTAAATTAAGACCATTAACCTTAGATGTATGTTTAACAAATCCTATATCCCAGTTTCCCGCTTATTTTCTACTCTCTGTGCTGTATTTCATCTTAAATTTACTTTTGGCCTTTGTGGTCTGTGTCCCTTCCTATATGGCACTTGTGTTTCCTGTCTTGCTTAATGACAACTCTCCCTCAAAACGCACACATACAAAATTGAGGTTATACAAACTGTTCCCTAAAATTTCATTGAGTATTTGTATTTTGTATTTACATCTTTAATCCATCTGGGTAGGTCTATTTCAGACAGGCCTGAAGAAGAGCTGAGAGGCAGCTCGTCGGAAGAGAAGTCAGAGGACAGGCCCAGCAGAGAAAGAGACCAACAGTGCAAATGTATTGAAGCAGCAAAGTGCTTGGCAGTGGGAAGAGCGTCCAGGGTAGCTGGACAGAGATGATGGAGATGGAGAGGTGGGCAGAGGTCAAAGACGGCCATAGACGGCCCCTCTGGTCTTGGTAAGGAGCACACTGAATAAATTATGTGGTAAAGGTGTAGGTGACATGATTTACAGATATTTTTGGATTTGTGAAGATGAAGGAAAGGCAGCAAGGCTCACTCTAGAATCTTGACTTGAGTAAATGGATTTATGGTAATGTCATTTACTGAATTGCAGAAGATTCGAGGGATAACAGGCTTAGGGAGCATAATGTTAAATCTTGTGTCTTTAATGTATTTAGGTTTTGAGGTCTGTTAGGGTTCCAAGTGAAGGTGTCAGGTAGAAATTTGTATGCACACGTGCATTTCAGGGAAGACATCAGGGCTGGTGATATAAAATTAGTTTACTGCATACTGATAGCCTTTGAAACTATCGTACTGGTAAAATCTTCAAGGAGACAGAGTAAATAGGGGCTAGTACCAAGCTCCAAGGTCCTAAGATTTAAAGCAAATGATAGCCTGACCATTTTAAGATAGCTTTTTAATGCAAGGATAATTTGTCATGGCAGAAAGTCAAGCCCTGTACTTTCGGCTCTGGATGTAACCAATACAGGAAAGGATGGACATTCTTACCTGCTGCTGCCTGGTTCTCTGAGAGTGAGGAATATGGTTAAGGTTTAAGCTCCAACTGGCAGACAAGCAACATGCAACAAAGACCCTGAGGCTTGGCACAATTGCTTCTTTCAGAAGGAACCTCAACTATAAGTAACGAGCATAAGTCCTAAGTCTTAAGAGGTGTTGGTTCTATCACCCGCCCGAAATACAACTTAAACAACTGTAATGTAATTAAGTCCAATGAAGTTCTGATATTTTTTCAATGACTACATTAATTCCATGTCTGAGAATTCACTTTATTTTAAAGTATACATGTCATGTTCCAAATTCTTTTGGTGTTATAACACTTAAACTTAGTTTTTCCCATAGGTTTGTTATTTACTAATGATACCTTTTTCTGGGTGTAAATATAGACTATGGCTGCCTTTTGGTAGATCTCCTGATGATGCTAAACTCAGTTTGGCACATTATCAAGGTATTTTAAGTAAAACAGAGAAGGAAGAATTCTGGGGTACATATGAATACTTATTCTCAATTTTAGTATGTATGGAGAATCCTTCATTAAATTCCTAACATCTTCTAATAATCCACATGCATTATGCTTAACAGGGTATTTATATTTATAAATATAAATTAGAAATTATAATTTAGGATCAAGAAATGACAAACCCTTAGAATGTAACCTACTTCTAACCTTAAAATAGGTATATATTTTTACAACTGATTATAAAATATCATATTTGTGAAAAAAAGATACATTTAAAAAATAGGAAGATAATGGATGATGGATGGATTAAAGGATATTGCTGCATAGATTTGGAAATTTTAAAGAAATTTTATAGTCATTGTAGCAAATTGATCTGCATTGTTGGAATATCCTATATAATTAAATGATTATTCTGTCTCAGCCTCACATCTCAGTGAATAAGATGAACTTTTGTCCCTGGTGCCTTCAGTTAATTGGAAGGCCTGGGTTTACCATTCTCATCAACTTGTCCCAATTTAAATGGTTCTCTCCAGGACCCTTGAGGCATGGTAAATGGAGACCTACTCTAGGGCTGGAAACCAACTAAAGCTACTGAGCATTTATTGCCCACTAGAGAATTTTCCCAAAAGGTAACTAGGGCTTTTGGATATAAACAGTGACATTTCAAAGTAGGAGGCAAGGAAGTATGTTATGTTGGAGAGAGGAAGGTAGGCCAGAGCTCTGGACATTAGCACAGGAATGTCCTTTGCTTGGGGAACAGCAGTATCTCTTGGTCAATTGGCACCTTACGTGTTTCTTTGAAGTTCCCAAACTAAGTTGCTGAAGCATATTAGGTTTTCAGAAGGGACTTTTTTTTTTTTTTACCGGTAAGAGATGTTATTAGCAGTCTGTTAGTCTGGTGAATAATTAATAGCTCCTGGTAATAAACTGACCCTCTAGAACAAAGTGCTTCCTGATGGCCCAGTAACCGACTCAGCTCAACATTTACTCAATGTCCAATTATCAAATGTTTATTGTAGGCCAGAATCTATGCTAACTATCAACAATTTAACAAGATGGTGCCCTTGACCTTAAGGAGGTCTTGCTGAAGATGAAACAAACACAATTAGCACAACATATCTTTCACTCGTAAATAATCAAAGTTTTGTTATTGGAGACCAGAGAGGAAAATTCAAATTCAAGTCTTCTCTTACTCCTTTCTTCACTCACCACAATAAATTTCCTTACCAAGTCCCATAGCTCTTTACCAAACCACCTCCCCACGTCTCCCCTGTTTCACTTATCACACACTAAATTTAAAGTGTATTGGCTTACCAGGAGGGAAAGGGGATGGGAAGGGACAAATTAGAAGTTCAAGATTTGCAGATACTAACTACTATACATAAAATAAACAAATTTATACTGGTTAGCACAGGGAACTACAGTCACTATCTTGTAGTAACCTACAATGAAAAAGAATATGAAGATGAATATATGTATGTATATGTAGGAACTATTATGCTGTACACCAGAAATTGACACACTGTAAACTGACTATACTTCAATAATTTTAAAAAGTGTATTGGTTAACACAAAAATGTGTAGCTAACTCACTGACAAGATTTACCTCCCTCCCTCTTTGTAGATTCCAGGGAGATCATCTCTCCTCCTTCCCTTAAAATTTTCAAAGTTTAGGATGCAAACAGACATTCTGGTATGTGGGCAGTTAAACTCATTGAGTTTTTTTCTCGTTTCATTTTTCTGACAGTGATCTCTTAGGGAGCAGTTGGTTATAGAATAGCCAGTGGCTTCCTGACCTTGGAACTTAGACAAATTGTTTATGCTCTCTTCCTGTTTCCTCATCTTTAAAATTGGGGTAGGGATAGTACGCATCTCTAAGACTGCTGGGTTAAATTAATATGCTGGAAGCATGGAGAAATGTACCTAACACACAGTAAGTGCTTAGTAAGTGCCAAGTAAGGGTACTCTTGAGCACCCTTTGTTCTAATTTCAGAAACTACACTGCTGAGCCCACTCTTTTCATCACAAGACAAGCAAAGGTATGTAAGAAGAAATCGACACAGGGAGAAGTTGATCACCTAGCCCAAGGTCACACACCTAGGAAGTGTTAGAGCTGGGTTCAAAGGCAATTTGGAAAGTCAATAAATAAAGTGTCCCAGGGTCCACATAAAACAATTGCAATCTAAGGAAACAAGTTCTCCAACAAGTTCCAAGAAAGAAATGCTGCGCAGAAAGAACCCGGTCCTCTCGGTGGACCCCTGCCTGAAATGCTGTTAGGCCAAACCGTGATTTTTCAGGCTGACTACTGTTAAAAACTCAGGAGATTCTAACGTGTGGCCATTAAGGTGCTCACTTCTTTTTCTACCACTTTGCCTTCAAACACCCAGACACTAGCCTGCTCTTTGGATGGTAGTTTCAAGGCCCGAGTGAGGGTGGGGGTGGGGGGTGGAGAGGTAGCGTGGGAGGGAGTCGAGAGCAGGGAGACTGCCTCAAGACTATGGGATATGTGTGCCAGCGTTGGGAGGAGGAAGGCGCGTCCGCGGGAACCAGCTTCTATTTAGATTCTCCCTGTACACTCGGATTTGAATGCTTCAAAAGGATTCTGCTCAAAAGGCTTCAGCGAAGCTCCAGGAGTCTTTGAATGAGGTTGCGTCTCCCTAGGCCGCCAAGGTCCCGAGCTTTGGCCCACTCAGCCGCATTACAAACCGAGTCATCCAGAAGAAAATCTTGATGAGACAACCCTGGAAAACAGGATCTAGGGATTTTTGGACAGTCCCAGATCGACACTTTTGGGTTGGAGCAGCAAATATACCCGATCCCTAGTAAACTGTCTTGGGGAGGCCTGCTGCCCTACTCTACCCCTTTTGGGTCTGCATTCGGAACCTAGGTATTCGCACCTCTTAATAGAAATTACACGTAGTTCGTTGAAGGTCAGGCGCTGATCTAGACTAGGGATCTTAAGGGGTTTAATTATCAAAAAAAAATCTAAAAATATAATCACCCTACTCAGTTTACATGTGACAAAACTACCAAGTTATAAATTAGCCCCAAATCTGTAAACGAGGGAGACGCCACAACTCGAGTCTAGGTTCAGTCTGTAATGAGCTACACCATGTTAACTCCGGCAATCAACTTTT